CTTATATATAAAGTTTCTTGTTTAAACTTATTTTAGATTTAAAAAATATCTAAACTATAGTTTCGCTAAATTTTTACTAAAGTTTTGATATAGTTTCACATTTTATAAGTTTTGATATAATTTTTTCTTTTTCTAGAATTTCATAAATTTTTAATAAGATTTTAATATAATTTCACTATATTTTACCTTTTTCCATTTAAATGACTTGCAAAATCTTTAGATTTCATCTAGCAACCTTACTCATATATAAATAGAAATTGTTTTATTAATATATTTTATTATCTGAAGTATAGCGAAGGACTATTTACTGTGCTGATTTAATAAAACATATTTTATCTCTCATTTTTTATCCCTGTCACAATCATGCAGTTTTAATTCCTTTTTGAATAATCATCATGATTATATAATTTCCTTTTTTGAATAACCATTATGATTTATGTAACACTTTCTAAAATATATTCCCTGAAATGTGCTAAAAAAACAAACACTAGTTTATGTAATAATTTCTAAAATATATTTCCTAAAATATGTTAAAAAAACAAACACTAGTGTAAATCGCATAATATAGTGTAGATCACATAATACTTAAAATAAAGTTGCATAGCATGACAAATACGAAAAGAAAAAAATTTATTTTTGCAAAAAATTTAGATCATAGTTTCCATTTTAGTCAATCTTCCTTCTTCTGCAATTCGCTCTTTTAACTTTTTGCAGTTTTTTATACACTCGAGTCTGCTAAAATCAAATGGTTTAAAAATAATATCATTAAGAAAATGAACACGAAAAATTATTACAAAAGATAAACCAATCACAAATTCTCTCTTGCCAAGATCTATAACTATCTTCGATAAAGTTAGACCTTGTAATTTGTAAGTTATAATAGCTTACGCAAGAGAAAGTGAAAGTTGTAGGCGAGAGCAACTATTAGATTTCCTTCTTACATACATCATATAAGAATAATAGATACAATCAGATTTCTCTCTAAGTTTGTAAGAGTTGGATTCTAATACTGGTCAAAGAAAACTAAAAAGCGGTAGGTAATAATGTGTGTTTAGATTTCTCTTTATATAATATATCTGTTATAGTTCCCATTTTATCATTCACAAGACCAGTAGTAATCCAGAGATTTGTGATAAGCATAACATGTGCATTTTTGACTAATAATATTTCAGATTCAAGACCTTTTACTATATCTAATTTGGTCTTTAAAGCTTCAAAGCTACCTGTATGAACTACTCGAATCTTAGCAACAAGTTAGTTTAATAACTGAAATTTATCAGCATTAACTCTATTGACATCCTTTCATATTGTAAGAATACTGATAGAATCTAAAAATGTTCTCTGCTCTAATTCTGACAGTTTTTAGAAATTCATGTTATTAATAATTTCTAATCAGATTGTGTAAATTCTTCATTATGTAAATGAGATAAAGATCCCTAAATTGGCATTGTTCACCTGAGTTATCAATTTATTGTTATACAATTTTAAGTTTATAAACTTCTTAAAATTGTCTATAGACGTTACGTCCATTCTCAGATAAAGGATCTGATTTTCAATAGTCCTAAAAATATATAAGAAGATTACATACTGGAGGAAGTTGTCCGAAATCACCAACAAGAATTATAGATCAGCTACCAAAGTATTGATTAGAATGATCTGAAAATGCTTGATGCAATCTCAAATCAATTAAAGCAAAAAAGTGACGACCCACCATACTCATTTCATCAATTATAATATATTAGATATCTTTTAATCTACTTTGTAATCTTTTTAGAGATTTACCTTCAAGCTTGTAATTTGTATCGCATATTAGAATGGAAAGCAATGAATAGATAGTACTGCCTTGAATATTAAAGGCAGCAACATCTATTGGAGCAAGTACAATGCTATTTTCTTGCAGCCTTTCTCAGATAATATTTATTAGGTAAGTTTTACCAGTTCCAGTAATATCCATATTAATAATTTGCAAAGGCTCAACAGTTTTATTTGAAGTTAAAGTAATATAATATGCTTTGACTCTCTCAAATATTATTATTTGTTTATTATTTAGAGTATTGTGATCAATACCTGCTAGATTATTCCTGACTTGAGTTGTATTACTATTACTAATTGCTTGCTGAATAAAACTTTCTGTTTCTCCAATTTCAGAAAATCGTGATCAGCTTTCACCAACCCAGTCATAATTTATATCAATATCACGATTACCAAAGAGTTGGATAAATTGTGTTTTTGTTTATTTAGCATCATTTCAGATAGTACCATCCAATCAGCTCAAGGTTCACACTCTTCTTATATAATATTTTCTTCATCAGAATCATCGTCATCAATTTCTTTAAGATTATCCACAGCAGGTTTGATTAAATCACTAGGATCATCATTTATTTTTAAAAGATGCTAGTTATATAAATCTATTCACGAAAGTGTGTGGTTCTCTGTAAGGTTAAAAATATCTCTATAACAAATATATAAAAAAACTTTTGTACAACAAAAGTCTTCCTATTGAGGGCTATTTTTAATTGGAAATGATCGTGGCTATACATGTACGATGTTTTTTTTGCTATATTTTACCTACTTTTTCTTTACTAACTTATATTGCAATACAATCTAAACATCGACAAGCTATCTAATTCAGTAGATCGACTGCAATATCTTTGCAAAGGTGAGAAATCCGTTTTAATTTTGTTGATTTCATTATTTACATTATGTTTGCTATTACGAAATCATTAATTTACCTCTTTATTAAGATTTAAACTAACAAAATTTCTACTACTGTGATAAAGTGGTATTTGAAAAAGAAGATGATAAGTTTTCTGGGCTGAGTAATCATGTTCTTCCACTGTGTGGATAAGCAATTTTTGAAATACTTTAGTACCTGGATAATCTGGGTTATCATTATAAAGAGCTTGATTTAAAACTTCTGAAAAAGCTAGGAATCATAGCTTAGCTTTATTAGCATACTTTAAAATGTACTGTAAAGCAGTATGTTGTATGAGTATAAGCTTTAAATCAACATTTGCCCTTCATCCCTAGAGTTGAATACGATTATGTGGATTTATCAGTGGATCATTTCTAACTGTTGTTAATTCTAGGAAACTATTATTATTTTGAACAGTTGTTTTATTTGTTAATTCCTTAGGAAAACCAAATCTGCATTTCTGTTTGCCAATTTTTTTGTCAACTCGTAAACAATAAGAACTACAACGTATATGACGTTATAATTTATTTATCAACTCAATATAGTCTGCTGTATCATTATTAAGATTTTTAAAGTGCCTTTGATATGGATGACAATCGGAAGGAGATACGTCTAGATCAGGATTGATTGTTGTAACTAAAGAATCCAAATAGCATATAACATCTTTTATTACCTCTTCATTATTACTTATTTTTTCTTAATCAATTTCAGGTGCATCCTTTCACTTGGCAACACCATGCATATAGACACTACCATGATGCTATTATTTAAAGCGATACCACCACTCAACTAATCCCCATTTAGGTATGAGAATCTTTTCAAAAAAGACTTTAAACTATTTTTCAAAAAACTATGCGACAATATAGGAATTTTTTATAAGATCTTTACGTCAACGTTTAGAAGCATCCTGACTTGTTTTTGCTTTTACAGAATTTTCTCCATTGGGCATAAGGCTATATAGGTTTGGCCAATGCATATCTGCCACACTGAATGTAAAGAATACTATCCCTTAAGATCCTAGCTATCTTACCATATCCATTAATTCAGCTTTATAATGCATCTAATACTGATAAGTACCATGTAATCCTTTACTATAATGTAATATTCAGTCTATAATATTGTTATTAATTTCCATTAAATTCAAGATTTCAGCTATAGTAAGTTGCCCTTCCTTTAAATTTTGTCAGATGAATATACAACCTTCTGATAATGCTCTTCATCTCATTGTTATATTTAGTGCAAAATAACGCCACTATGAGTGACGTGTAAATCATTTATCTTTATAAATCAAAAGATATTTAAAGTATTCTGCTGGTTGCACTTCTTTTACTCAATGTCCATTATAGTCTGCGGTACTTCAAGGATAAAGTGTTGGAAATACCCATACCATATATCCAGGAGTATGAAACTCATTAACTGAAGTTTCTTTATTATGTAACTAGTCTTAGTGCTACATTTGATGGAGAATTTTATTAACTATGCTATTCTCACTATTTTTAGTAGGTAATAAAGGAACAAATATTTGCGACGTGAAATGGGCTTCATCATCTTTAATCTAATCTTCGCATTTATCTTCACTTGGTCCTTCTTTTTTATGATGGATTTTATCACTTGAAACTTGTGAAAGTTGGTATGCAATTGATCCATTTTCAGGTAACTTTTGCAAAATATTGTTATCAATGTCAATATCATGGTAATATATGTTATGTTTTTTAATTACCAAAGAGCTTGCTTTACTTTTTCCTGATGAACTTGAAAGTCTTGAAAGTTAGATCCATTTCAGTATAACGCTGAATAATAAGCAAATCCAGTGATGATAGATCATGTGAAAAATAGATTACAAATTCTTATACATTATATGAAAAATTAATAATATTTTCACAATATGCATACTGTCTTTTAGAAAGATTATATACTGAAATGATAGGAAATATTTGTGTGATTAGCATTTCTTCTATATCCATCAAACTCTGAAGCTCTTGTGGAACTTCACCTAGAAAAATATAAAAGTAAAATCTATCAAATTCTTTAAAGAAAAAAAACGTTTTACCCAAGACTCACCAGGATCCATATTGTTTTTGGCAAAAAACTTTTTAGGACTTTTTTCTTAATTACATTGATGACATTCTTCATTAACAAGTATAATAAATAGAAATCGCTCATTATATGTGTTACAAGTATTGTTCTTTAAATTGCTAATTATATTGCGAAATTTGTGAAAAAGTTTTTGATCTGAATTTGAAATACTTTTCATTTCACATCTTCAGCGTAAATTTTTCCTATTTTAAGAAATTCTTGCAGCACATTATTGAGAAGTTTCTTTAGCTTTTCTTAGTAGATATTTTTTATGTACATAAGCACGTTGAGTTCCCTCTTCAGCCATCAGACGTGCTTCACGTTCTTCATTAGTCTCTTCAGTCACTTTACTTTACTTTCTACATTTCTTATTTTGATCGCTAAAAATGCCTCATGAGTCTCTTCAGTCACTTTTCGCTTCCTACTTATGTCACGTTTCTCATTCTCTATATCATCATTCTTTTTAGTGAATTCACAAAAATTATTTATAAATTATGCATATAAAGTCTATTTTACATTATTTATCGTGTTTATTGATTGATATTTAAAGACAAGAAAATGAAAGAAATGCATCACATTATTAGGTATCTTACCATATTATAACTATTATAACTATTAGACATTATATGAATTTTATTAAATGAATTAAGCAAAATATCTTAAATATAAAAGAATATTTGAAAAAATATATGCAAATGGCAGAAATGTGATTTAACACGTTTGATAAAAGACGCTAAGCGAGAAACACTTTTATATCATATGATTTCAAATAAAGTATTTATTTTTACTGTATTAATATAATTTAACGATCTGTCACATTTTTTGTGTTACAAACTGAAATTAACTTTTTATTATACTGTATCTCTATTATAAAAATAAATACATGTATATTCTACCTATTGACTTTTCTACCTATTGGCTTTTTTTAATTCTGACACTGTATATGAAAACTAAAATTTATATGTAATAGACTTAAATGATTTTCATTTTTCTAGTACAGTAGCGTTTATAAGTATCCGACCGCCTCTAACTCCAGCTACAAGTAAATAAATTCAAAATTTTTTTTTATTTAAAAAATACATAACCAACTAACTAAAATTAATACATTATGTAGTCACCATCTGACTCTATAAGT